TTCCTCTGAATGCTGTCTGTCAGACTCTGCTTCAAGAATCTGAAATTGGCGAAGATTTTTTTTCTCCTTCTTTTGCTCCTAACTGGAACACTTTTCTATGGAGCTTCCTCTATGTTTATTCCTTCCTTACCATTCTCCTCCCCTGCTTTGTCTTGCTGTTCTTCCATCTCTAGTGTTTACTTAGCTGCTGCTATTAGTTATTTCTATGTACTCTTCATCCTCTCTTATATCCTTAAACATGGCCACTTGCTATTCCAGTTCTTCACTTTCTCTTCCAACAGAGCCACCTGTTGGCACTCACTGCATATGTACACCATGTTGTTCTCTGGTACAAAATTAAATTATACTTAGCATCTTCTTCTATTCTAAAATAGAATAGCTCAGAGTATGGTACAAAGAATTTACTTCCTCAGATATCTACTTCTGCAGGTAAACGCAACTCTGCATCATGGAAAAACTAGATGGGTGGAACTGATAACACCACCACTTAAATATTTCTCTTACTTTGAAAACCCTATTAGGGTCATTGAAGAGAAGACTTCCTAGAGAAGATTCCCTGGAAAAGGCCTTGATGTTGGGAAAGAGTGAGGGTAAGAGGAGAAGGGGACATCAGCGGACAAGACGGTTGGACAGTGTCACTGAGGCTACCAACATGAATTTGACCCAGCTCCGGGAGGCAGTGGAAGACAGGAGGGCCTGGCGTGCTCTGATCCATGGGGTGATGAGGAATCGGACATGACTTAACAACTAAACAACAACAACAACGGAAGTGGCTTCACAGCATATCACACACATACAGTAATAAACAGAAGTAGACTAAGTTTCTCCCTTGTTCCTAGTTCTTTCTTCAAGACAAAGTTGTATGATCAGCCTAATATAAAATTACCAATATACAGCTGCATTTTATTTACAGTGGTGCCTCGCACAACGATTGCTTCATACAATGATGAATTCACACAGCGATGGGTTTTTTTGAGGAATTTCCCCCATCGTTTAACGATGTTCTCTATGGGGGAATTTCACTTAACGATGTCCCTTTTTGCTCATTTAAAAGTGTCTTAAAATGTTTGAAACCTGTTTTAAATGCTTGGATTCCATAGTGCACCTTGTGAAACATGTGCAAACTTAATTTGGTTTTGTTCTGAGTCTTCATTAATTTTTGATGATTTTTTTATTTTCCAGAGCATTGCTCCTCTGCAGAAAGCCTGAAAATTCTGTTGGATTCAAAGATAGAATACAATGCTGTCTTTGAAGATAGAACACAATGCTAGGTTCTTAAGATTTGTAGATATTATGGTTTTTGTTGCCTGTATGGTTAAAAATGTCAGAGCTACAATCTAGGACTCACTGCAAATATTTCTGGAATTCTACACACTGTAAGCTGACTATAAGAACTCTTTCTATCCACTATGGATCAAAGAATGACTTACACATCAAACATAGCCGCCTAGAGTGGTCTAATATGATCAGATAGGTGGGATAGAAATAGAATAAATAAATAAATAAATAAATAACAAAGTGAGTTTTGTACTATTCCACACACTTATTCCACACACTTATACCATCATGAATGAAAACAGTGCTCTTTAAAATACTCCAGTGCATTATCCAGCAGGTTGCTTTTGTACAACTTCTTGAATACAGTGGTGCCCCGCAGTACAACCACCCCGCGGTACAACAAAACCGCATTACGACGACTTTTTTGCGATCGCTACAGCGATCACAAAACAATGGTTCCTATGGGGGAAATCCGCTTGACGTTGATTAGGTCCTTGCTTCGCGAACCGTTTGTTCGCTAAATGACGATTTTTCCGGCTTTGCAAAATAGCTTCCCTCTCTTCGCAAAATGGGTGTTTTCCGGACAGAAGCTTCGCAAGACAGGGATTTTAAACAGCTGATCGGCGGTTCTCTATGGGCAATCTTCGCTGGACGACGAGGTATTTTCCCATTCGGACGCATTAACCAGTTTTCAATGCATTCCAAAGGGGATTTTTTCCCGCATGACGATGATTTTGCTGTACAGCGATTTTCCTGGAATGGATTATCGTCGTCATGCGGGGCACCACGGTACATTATTTCTCTAAAATAACCCTTGGACAGTTCTAACATGGAACAGAAAACAGAACCTTAACAGACTTATCAGGCATTGTGTCTAGTCAAACACATTCACTGAGAACAAGCTACGGCTAAACATGCTATCAACTTTCAATACATGCATATGTGATAGAAATGCTGCATGTCCCCCAAAATGAAGTTTTGGATCAGTCTTGAAGGCAAAAGCCTTTCATTTATGCAGGAGAAAAATCCATCACTAATTTTATTTTTACTCTACTAAGAAAAGGTAAAATCAATGATTTTTAATTTTTATGTAAAAAAATCAGATTAAAAAAAGTTCTGTATTTTGAGGCATTGTACTTATTGGAGCATCAACTTTCTGGGGGTTCCAGAGGATTCTATACAGATTATTTAAGATAATCTTTCTAAATCCCATAATACCCAGTCCAGTAGATACCATCAGGAAAAAAAATGCAATTCTCAAAGTCAGCTTATGTGAAGATATATTCTTGTTTAGAGAGGTGAGAAACAAGACACTTATTTTCCAACTCTGACTAAAGTTATTCCTGGATCTTTTCTCTTGACATGATAACGTTTGAAATTCTTGGACGTTTTCAACAGTTCTCTTGCTGAGTGATGCCCTGGGACTATTTGTAAACCAGTGGTTTCCAACCTTTTTTGAGTCGTTACTCTCTTTTATAATAGCCAACACCTCCAACCATGTTTGCATTTTTTCTTTTTTTCTTTTTTAAACCAAGGCTTCTTTGTCTCCCAAAGAGCCTGCTTTTCATACATGTTATACACGTATATGCTAACTTTAATATTTCACTCCAAAAGGCCAAGGAAGAAATTATTTAACAAGGCCTGCAACACATAGAAGGCGACCTGCCATCTCCCAGAAAACAATTCACGACAGCCAGGTTGGGAAACAGTGCTGTAGAAAAAATCAAGTGCTCACATCTCCCTTTGAAAGTGCACACTTGGCACAGATAAAAGGTGACTTGGATTAAATCTTTTTTTCTCTCTCCATTGCCTGCCATACTGCATTCCTGCTTGCTATAACTTTATGAAATATTTTTTTCAAAATCTTCTTGCCTAAGTTCACCCCACCTCTGACAGCCCTTTATTCACTGACATATCCACTGCTTCAAAGTGCATACTAGAACTATCAATAAACAAAGGATCACCGGGGGTACAGTCAATTTGGTCAAGGAGTTTGTGAAAAATGTACATATACAGCACTTTCCTGGGGGTGAAATTGCACAAGTCACTCAAATTTTTCTGTTTAGTGATTTAAATCAAGTCCACCCTGCTTCCACCAGCAGAAGTATTCCTAGAAGAGATTTCGTCAACATTTCCTTACTGGCAGAAGGGGAGGTAGGGTTCAACCTGTTCATCCTTCCCTCAGCTCTTGAAAACATATTTTCAGGGACCCCATGGAGAGACTGCAGGAAAAGGCAATCAGTGGGCATCTCCCCCAGTCCCACTGCAATGCTCTTTTCTTTTCCTCACTGAAATTGTTATGCACAAAGCCATCCCTTTTTGAATCCTACTTTGTTTTTAGTAACTATTACTCCTTTTCCCAAGAAGGGATTCCAACCTGTTTATCAAAGTTAATACTTCTCATCAAGTCCCATTTTAGCAAAGTTTCTAAAATCTACTCCAGCTTCACCTTACCTTCCGAAGTCTACCAGCATGAGACTCTACCATCTGAGTCCACTGTGCTCTTCAGCAGCTATGTGTTATCCACACATATTTGACAAAGATGATAGGGTACAGGAGAGCAGTATTTATTTCATCTTTAATGTTTCACATAACACTGCTGACACTAAATAAATATCTACAAATAGTAAAGAGTCTTAAAGTCAAGAATCATTTATTCAGACCAGCTTGCCAAAATCGCAACCACATTTTAAAGAGACAGTTAAAAACAGCTCACTTATCAGGAAAACTGTACAGTAGTAAGGAACAGAGTTATTCAAAACGAGTTCAGCTAAAATCTGGTAGGCTCAGTGGCTTTGATGTGCATTAAGAAGGAACACATAATTCAATCCATTTAAAATAACAAATATTCTGCCACCTTCAAGAGCTAGGAAGCAAGAGGGTTATACACTACTTTAGAACTGCAAATCATATGGATAACCTTGCAGGGGACAAGATTAAATAACATGATTGTTCCCATAATCAGTCGCTACACAGTCAGTTCAATCTTTACATTCTAAACTCTGGCCTAAATGAATATATAGATATAAAACATGTCTAATCTTCAGTGCTCAGAATGCATGTAAACGGTAGCTTGGCTCAGCAAAGTCTTTAATGAACAGGTTGTGTGGTGGGGTGGTAATTAAATATTTTAGAACAGTTGGGAAGGAAAACAAACGATTCATTTATCTGAAATAGCAACATGCACTGAAGATGCAAATAAATTAAACTAAAGGCATATGGACACAGAGAAGTTACTTACCACTTTGAGTTCTGGCACAGATCGACTTAGTGTCCATTCCTGGCTATTTACAAAGGCATCTGTAAAATTGAACAATTTTAATACAGCTTTTAACAGTCCATCAATACTAAATTATTGCTACACGTGACTTACTAACACGAAAGAAGATATATGTCAGTTGGTTCCAGAGGAGCAAAAGGAATGTTCCATTCGCACAATGAAGATTTTCCACCCTCTGCACTTCAGTCCTTCATGGGGGAGGGGATAAAATGAGATTGGGCATAAGTGGGCTACAGCAGAAGAGAAAAATCATCAAACTGGGAGGTATGGGGAGCGGCTCATATGATACATTTAAACTGTTGTTGTTGTTTTGACTTATCTACCACCCCAAAGTGCTAGAGCACGCTCTGGGAAGTTTACAACATAATTATGGAAGGAATACCTAGCCCAGGTAATTCTCCCCAGGGGAACTGTTCCATATAGAGCATCCAAGAAGAATCTCTGTTACCCACACACCTGACTTCAAATAGTGGGGGCACCTACAAGAGGCACTCTATTGAAATAGATTCTGATACAGAGATAGCATATTAATATGTAACTAATTTTTGTCCAGGCTCTGATGTGACCATTGAGTAAACTTCTCACAGGAGAAGTGGACTGCAACAGTGACATATAGTAGCAAGGCAGCAGGATAGCATATATGGCAAAATCACTCCCAGGGTAAAGTCTCAGGTCACAGCTGAATCAGGCACAGACATGGCAGCATGTGTCAGGGCTTCGCCAGAACAGGAGGAGGAACTGTGGCTTCGGTAAGGTACAAAAACCATCTGGGATCCTACAAAGGCTGTCTAGTCTAGTCCCACTGTTGTCTCTGACCTGTCTGAACCTGCTTCTGCCCTTAAAGGGTCAATGCTTTGTTTTGCAGCAACTTCCTCTCTCAACACAGTGATGACAAAGCCTGCACTGAGAGTAACTAAACCTAAGGAGCCCAGTAAGCAACATTTATTGGCCTAGAAGGATTTATAGCAAGAGATAGCATCTCTATAGTAGGAGCCTCCTTGTCACCCATATCCTGTGTGAGGAGAGTGAGGATAGGGAACATGACAATGACCAGGTTTCTAATCCCAGCTCTTTACACCAGGAATAGAACAGCCCAGTGGCAAGCAGTGGCATCACTAATTTAATTCACAATAAATAGCATTTCATCAAGGAAACTCTTCTACTCTCTGGTCTGGCTCTTAGTAATAATTTATACCTAGAAGGTGCTTGAGATTGTGAAAATTCTTCACAATAAAGAAATCCAGTTTATTGCCATATATATAGGAAGTGCTAAAAACCATGTTCTCTATTTAAGCTTCCAGATACATTCTGGAACTTATAGATATAAACTTTTGTAAAGCGCAGCTATTTACTCCACCTTTTATCAAGATCTTTATGTAGCAACATTATAGAAATCTGTTACCTGTTTTAATCATGTTATTGCACTTTAAAATTCTTGGGCAAATTTAAAAATCTGGGCCAAAATTCCATCCATTCACTCCCTATCCACATATATCTGGGGGAGTAACTGTAACCCATGAAGACACACATGAAAATAGACCTGTTGACAGAGCCTTTCAAACTGAGGTGTAGATCTTGGGATCTCAGGGAGGCGATTCTTATTGGGCATTCCTTCAATATGAAACCACTCCATGCCAGAGGTCCAGCCGACCTACAGTACTTTTTGAAAAAGTTTACTCAATGGTCACATCAGCTGAGATGGTAAAAGCAAAGTGTACTGCTTATATGCCACCTCATAATGCTTAAAGCACGCTCTGGCAGTTTACAATTATGCAGATTACACACTCCTACCCCCACAAGCTGGGTATTCAATTTATCATCCTCAAGAGGATGGAAGGCTGAGTTAGAACTGAGTTGGCGACCTGAGTTGTAAAGGATTAGAGATGGGCACAACTCATTTTCTGCTGCATCATTGCAAATCATCAGTGCAGCACCAAAAATGCCATTTGTTCCCTTTCCCCACTTCCACGGTTGGCTCCCAAACAGCATGCACTGTTTGTCTCTTGCTCTTCACATGACTGTCCAGTCGCAACAGGAGTGTGGATTTCCCTGCTCCGCCTCCTCCAACAGTTATCCTCTCAAAGGCAGTATTGTAGGAATCCCTGCCCTGCCTCCGTGTCTGAGTGGGCAGCTGCTGAAGGAGGTAGAGAAGGGAGATCCGTGCTCCTGCCGTGACTAGACAGCCATGTGAAGAGCAGGAGACAAGCAGTGCATGTCGGCTGGTGAGTGGGGGAGCCAGCTGGGAGATCGGGGAACACACGGCACCGATGACTTGCAACAACATGGCACAAAGTGAGTCATCCCCATCTCTAGTCAGGATCAAACTCATGTTGTGAACAGAGACTTCACTGCATTATTGCAGTTTAACCACTGCAACACAAGGTAAACCTGGTGTATCAGTTCCGAGCAGCTCCAGCTTGCAGTGGTCTTTTATCATATAAGTCAAATCTGCTGCCTTATCTTCCTTCGTTTGTAACTCTACCAACACACCAGAAAAAGAACCCGTGGTTTGTTCTTGGTTTGTTGTCTGTTGGGAGAGAAACAAACAAAAAAATTAAAAGCAGCTGTGTTTGTACAACATGACAAACAAGCCAACATCAAGGCTTCACGACCTGTTTAACTTCAGCAAATAGTTGAAGTCTAACAAATCAGGTTTCCCATGATTCCTTTGTTTCTCGTATCATAAGAATTTGGCCAATATGTGAAGATATCTAAATGCAAGGGCAACTTTCTAAGCAGAACCTTTGAGTATTCTAACTTCTGAAATTGTCAATGCTACCTTTATACAGTAGTTTCTTAATATCATCTGCCCTGGCCATCTGGTAAAGGGAAGCTAAAAATTCTAAATAGAGTTTCCTCTAATAGGCCACAAAACGTTTTTCTGCCAGTACTAATATTACTGTGTACACCATCTGGCATACAGTTGAATTACTGTGAACATTAATCTCTCCCCTATTTAATTCAGACTGTGACCTTAATACTAGTTCAGTTCTTAATCATCTGGCTATTTCAGTACATCTGACATTTCTGTTTCCTCCAACATGGACTTTTCCTACTATTTTTAAAATCTATTTAGTCAACAAATTACAACAATTTATACACACACACACAAACACACACACACACACACACACACACTCTCTCTCTCTCTCTCTCTCTCTCACACACACACACACACACACACACACACACACACACACACACACACACACCACTCCATTAATGTGTAGCATTATTCTGGGCAGTGGCGAAAATACCAAAGTGTCCTGCTTATATAGTGCTTAAAGCACTCTCTGGGTAGTTCACAATTTTATTATGCATGCTAAATATATTAGAAAATACAGAAAAGAAATTCTGTCATAAGATTTCAAGCAGAATGTTCCCTGATATGAAGTTCAAAGATAAACTCTGTAAGATTCCTGGAATGTTAATGCTCATATAATTATATAATGGCTGGAATCCTGTTGTGAGTTTACACCTGTGCAAGCTGATGATGTCATGAAGCATGGGCTCTCATTCCTTCATTCAAAGCTTCCTGTTCCCCCACCATATCTGGTTACAGTGCTATCTAGGTCTTTTGTGGTGTGGGAGCCTCTTGGAGCCTCAGGATGGGGGGGGGGAGGAGCCTTCAGCATCCAAAAATTATCACTGCCAGCCCCGCTGCTGGACTGGACTGGCCTCAATGATTTTTGGACATTAAAGGTACATTTTTAATAATTTGAGCAGAACAGAACGCTTACCCCAGGCAAGAGGGAGCTTCTTAACCTGGTGCTGGCAGGATGGAATAGGGATAAGCAGCTTTAAATTATGGATAAAAATCTGCAGCTGATGACATCATCAGCCTTGCATGGAAGCAGCTCTGCCAACTGAATTCCAGCCATTAACTGCACAACTGAACGATGCAATTTATTTTATTAGGGTTTCCATGCCAGACAACTTCCAGGTCAGCTATTGTTAAGTATTCCAAGAACACTGTACAGTAGCAGTTTATTTATTTTATTTCATTCTAGTACAGCTGATTACCAATTTATGTTTACTGACAGATTTCTTCCTAGCTCTGCAGCAGTCAAGGATACACCCAGCAGCATAGCAAATCTTCCTCCACCAGGTACCTAAAGTAACTGCAAGTATCTTCAAGCTGTCATCAGTGTCAAAGACCACTGCTTAGCTAATCAAGTCTCAAACCAGAACTTGGGAGCTTTTAAGTTCAAATTCTCACTCAGCACTGAGGTTCACTGGGTGTTACTGGACCACGCACCAAGTCCAACCTACCCCAGCTAACCATTATGCAGATAAAGTGGGTAGAATATACACACTGCCCTAAGTGTGTGTACAACAGAATAACAATAAGTGTCATCAATTAACATCAATGATTTTGCAGTAATATATATCGAATTTGTGTTTTTAATTACCTTAATTACCTTTTCAATTACCTTGTGTTTTTCCTTGAAATTAATGCTTTAACTATTTGAAAACAGTTTGACAATATTTTGTTAACTAACTGAACTCCAGTTTCCAGTTTCTTTCCTTACTTCAGATGTTCTCATAAGTTACCTCTTTTTTAACTTGTTGCATCTTTTCAACAGCACTTTCTGTCCAACCACAAGTTCAGTTATTCTATGCAGGTACACAAGTGCTTACGACAATCACAGATTAACTCTGCCACTTCCCCATCACGCTGGTATATAGGACAGACAGTCATAGAAAAGCCACCTAACCTGGAAGCAGTCCCAAGATTCTTTTACTTTTCCAGCCTACTACAAACCCTGCACTTAATGGCATATATCTTGTAAGCTAGAAACACTATACAGTATTTACATTTATGGAGTCTTGTTTCACGGCACTCTTCATATATACAAGGATAGCTAAGACCACCTAACTTTTTAATTTTATTTAAGAAAATTATATGCAAATTATATGCAAAGACCTTACTAGGAAGTTTACAAAAATTAGGTAAAACATGAAAATGCAAAGCATACTAAAGCAATTACATTGCAAACATATACCTTAAGGTATATCATGACACCATTCTATGTCAACCTTACATGTCTATGTCTTAAGTATAAATATCTTTAAAAATTAATGCAATTAAGCTGTTCAACCTGTAAACATTAGCTGCCTCCCACAGTAATTCTGACTTTAGTTTCTCAAATCCACTAAATAAATCTAATAAGAACAGACCACTGTTCTTATTAGAAAAGACCACTGCCCAAATGGTCCTTAGACTGAACTCTTTGAGACTTTTCCGTAGAAGTTCATACAGTCATGCTGCTACCAACCTAGATAAACTTAACATTTGCCAATTAAACTTCCATAATTGTATACAAATCTTACAATCACTATAATAGCATGCAAAGAATTCTGTCTTTGAAATAATGCAATTTTGACTAAATAAGAAATTTTAGAACGCTTGTGCCAAATCCAATGGTGAAAGATAACCTCTGCAAACAACTCCAACATGTTGTTTCTTAGGGAAGCTGATACAATATGGTACAAAAGAAAAAACATAGCTCAGCTTTAAAATGAGTTGGAGCTACAATCAACTTGTGTCCCTGTGAACACTGCAGGATGCCAGCTTTGTTGGCTCCTGAAATATAACTATCCTCCAGATGATCACATACTGAAAGGGAGAATTATAGAACAGAATGCCTTTCAGCATGTATCAATATTACTAACATGAAACTAAGAACTGAACCAGGAGATATAGTTGTTCTAAATTTGACAAGAGTTAAAGGGTTTGATTTGCTAAGCACAGTTGCTTAATAACCTCTCATCAGTATGACAGATGTATAATTAGTATTAAAGATTACCATTCCACCCACTCACTTTGTATGAAACTAAATATCTTAATGGAAATCAGGAGCAATCAAAATGACTTCAACTCTCCATATGACTTAAACATTTTCAAGTCACAATATAAGTTTCCATTACCTGCCCACACAGAAATACTACATAAGGATCTAACTCTAAAAAACTGGTGTTTACACACTCTTGATTATATTAAGCATATAATACACCACCACCGCACAGTGAATTCATTCTTGTAGTGCAATTATTTTATAACCCAGACGCACTTCAGAGGGATAAGGATGACATATGCACAGAAGTTTGCAAAATACTGGAAACTTTTGGAGAGAAGGATGAAAATGCTAAATGCTCCAGGAAAGATCAAACATGCTCAGTGGCCACAGAATGCCATGTGTGGATGTTGGGGCAGAAAGGAGAGAGGATCTATATTACAATATGTGCATACAAATGTTCTCTCTGTCTCCCACTTTTGCAGAAATATACCAGGCTCAGCACATGAATTATAATGTTATTACTCCAAACACAATGACTTCTACCTTTATCATGCACAACTTTGGAAAAGCAAAATAAGTCTGGCTCGAGCTTCCACTATAATGGAATGCACAGATGCTACCAGCAAAGCATCAAATATCGGCCTACTGACCCTCAAAAAATGCAAGAGGACTCTGCATACTTTTATGGGTGCCACCTAAGGGCACCCTGTCCTGCTTGTCCTAGCACTGTACTATGGTACCACCAGCAACCTGCTCAACCCTGAAAAGCACTAAGCCCAGTCCTGTATGCAATTTTCAGGAACCTAAAATAATTTCCAAGATGCACTTACAGTTCTTTAAACTGGCAAAATATTAAGAATCTCAAATTTATAATTCCCTCAGTTTTCCAACCACAACCTCGAAATGTAAGCTTCGGTAAGCTGAAGGGATTTGTAGACAAAGCAAACAGGATTCCACGCAATATATACTGTATTACCGTAACTTGCAAAGACAAAGAGTAGCAGACTAGAGAATTCGCTGACCTAGTGACCCATATTTTAACCGTGAAGCTCATCTCCTTCCCCCAGCCATGAACTAGAAACTGAAGTTTGCGGCGTAAAGGTTAACAACCGGGGGGGGGGAGGGTTTCCAAAGGGAAAGGGACACATATTTGAGAAACGAGTCCGCGCTCTTTGCACCTGTCCTTGCCCAAGGCAGAGAGGTCTGAGAGGAGCCCTCCTTCTGACCCGAACTGGCGCGCGCAAGCTCCCCCCCCTCCCCAAGAGCAGCCGCGCATGTGCTGCCAACACCGTCCCAGGTTGCCCGACGCCCTCCCCCGCCCCCCAAATCCTCTCGCAAGCTACGAGGCACCTCGGCTCAGGAGCTCGGAGAGGCTCTCCGTGCTGGACCGCCTGTCCGCGCCGTCGCTTCTCGGAAGGCCGCTCCTGCCGCCCCCAGCGCGGGGCCGAGGGAACCTGCCCAGGGGGCTCCCGAACGGGGAGAAGGTGCCACGGAAGAAACGGAAGGGCCGGCGCTCCTGGGACGCGGCCCCGGTCCCGGCGCTGCTCTCCCAAACCCCCAGTCCCTCGGAGAGCACCTGCAGGTCCCTGGGCTGGCTCCGGTGGCCAAGGCTGCTCCTCTCTAGCTCGCGGCCGGCGGCGGCCTCCTCCGTCAGGGCTGGCGGGCGCCTCTTCCCGGCTGCCGGTCCGCCCGCGGCGTCTGGAAGAGAGAGGCAGCCCGAGCTGCTGTGGCGCTTGGTCCGGGCCAAGGCCCTCAGCCGCAGCGCCTCCGCGCCGTTCCCGTGTCGGAAGCTACAGCTCCGGCGCAACGGGACGGGGTCCGGCGGATGCCTCTTCCCCGGGCTCCGGGCGGTGCGCTCGGCTGACAACTCCTCTTCGAAGCGCGCCGGCGGCGCCGGAGGGCCGCAGGAGCACCGGCCGCTCCAAATCCCCGCGGGGCCAGAAAGGTCGCCTCTTGCGCCACTTCCCTCCGCCGGGCTTCTGCCTGCGGCCACCTCAAATTAAGCCCGCCTCGCCTCGACACCTTCAAGTGGCCCAGCTCCAACTGCCCGGTGCTCAGGGCCCGGAACCGGCGGAAAGCCTCCCCGCCAGCGCTCGCCGCCGCCGCCGCCGCGGCACTTTCCTCTCTCTCCTCCTGGAGGGGCAAGCCTCCCAGGGCTTCTTTCTTCACCAGGGTGACTGAGATGCGGTAGACGGTTTTCCGCTGCGGAGCGCCCCGCTGCATGCCGCCCGCCGAAGAGGGAGCGCAGGGCGGGTCCCGGCCGTCCAGGAGGTACATCTCGCCCAGGGGCGCCGCTCCCCGCTGGCCACGCACGCGGAGCCGGGAGAGGGGCCAAAGGAAGCCAGCGCTTTTTGTCTCTCTCTCTCTCCCCCCCCCCGCGCGCCCCGCTCCGCTCCTCTCCGCTCTGACAAGAGGCGAGCCTCCCTGTCAAGTCACTTCGTCGGGCACCGCCACAGCCACGGCTCCTGAGGGAGGTGCCGGCATAGTCCCAGGGACAGCCGCCGCCTCACGGAGCGGAACGCCCGCCTCCCTCTCCTCTCGGCCCCCAACCGTCAAGGCCAAGGCGGTTTAAAAAATCCATGAAGCGACGAGGTAGGTCTTGCTTCCAGGGATGTGCGGTATCCGCGACACAGCAGCACAGAGCGGGGGGTGGGGGGCGGGGGCGGGAGTGCAGGCGGAGTAGCCGCCCTCCTCCGTTTTATTGTTTACAGAGGATTGCACGTTTGCATATAGTGCCCTTTTTGCAGAGTAAATCCGATTATCCTTCCTTGCTTGATGGACCAAATTAAGCGCCAGCCCGGTATTATCTTTGCAATCAACTGTCGCCAAAAAGGAAAACGTTTAAAATAACTCAATAAAAATGCCCGTTGCCGCCAATAGCTGAAGGTCTGAGGATAATCCGACTCCTAGACAAACATGTTCCTTGACTGCAATCAGCATACTATAGACTCGCACCATCTGAAGTAGCAGATATCCTAAAGCGCTTCGTCTCAAGAAATGAGGAGGTAGGGAGCCTGAGGGAGAGACGCTGGAAATTCTGGAGTGGAGTAATTTTCTTTGTGGAATGCACTGCTGCGTGTCCAGATGCTGCACCAGCCCAAAAAGCTTAATAAGATACACCGGGCAGACATTTTAGCTTATATTACCTTAAAAGGCCTATTACTGAAAAAATCTCATTAATTCTTCCTGGCTACCAGTTTGATTAGTTGCACAGAACTACAAACACTACCACTGATCTTTACTAGAGTTGTTATACAATTCCTACAGCAAAGAAACGAATGACTTGCACTATTGCAGAATGGGTTGGGTTCTCTATTAGACATACTTTGTGCCCTTACAGACCTCTCCTCCAAATTGAATTATGCTTAGTCTCTAAGTAGGTGTGTCCAGGATTACACCCTTACACAGTTCTTGAAATATAATTCCAGCACTCTGTTTACAGGAAGAGAGTTGTTATTTTGATTTATATAGGTAAAGCACTCTCTGGGAAGTTTAAAACATAATTAGGCAAGGAACACTGTGCCCTTCAGCAAACCTGAGTACTCAATTTACCTATGTCAGAAGGATGAAAGGCTGAATCAACCTTGAGCTGGCTACCTGAATATGTCAGGATCAAACTCAGGTTGTGAGCAGAATCTTGACTGCAATTTAACCACTGTGACATGGTTCTTAAGTTCTAATTTTCTGAAGCAGATGAATACATCATTAGGCAAAAACACAATGTAACATTAAACCAGTGTAAATGTGCTAGGCATTACACCTGTCAACAAGGAATGGCATTATTCAAGTAATCCATTATGCCTCTCTGGTGCAACCGGTTGCACAATGTGGCAGTGGAAGTACTTCAATGATGGTCAATGTTCCCTCTAAGCTGCATGCATGCACGCTTGTCCAGAGCTTCATCGGGGTTGCGCACAGGCAGCCGGCAGCCAGTTTTACTTCCCAGTTCCATTTTTTAATGAAGCCCCGCCCGCCCACCACCCACGAGGCTCCTGCGCAATAGTGCAGAAACTTAGAGGGAACATTGGTAATGGTACTTCTGTCTCAGTACTATTGTAACTATTTGCAGACACAAGTTGCACGTGTGTAGCTGCACAACGTAATTTTGCCAAATGACACAAAAAATCACTACACAAATGGAACAATTTATTCATGGTTTAACTGTGCTGTTGTGATTACCCTTTTTCACTGTGTAAGGCAATGCAAAGTGTACCAAAAATCACAGGAAGCCTCAAATTTAAATCATTTGAATAAAGTTCACTGTTATGGAATAAATTTTTTTGTCATTCAACTTTTCTATTCTGCCTTAAGAGGTACAATAAATTGAATATCATAGCTTTCCAGTTATTCAAGATACTTTGATGAGCTTAGGGAGCAGATTCAGGTCATCATCTCATAAAATTTGAAAAGGCTTTTTAACTTCTAATACATTAAACAACAACAACAAAAATCTGGGTCAACATGTCTTTTATACTTTTCCATTCAAACACATAGGATACAATACATACTCCTGAATACTTAACTAGGAAACCCTGGATGTACTGCACCTATAAGATTAATTATAAATAACACAGTGTGGGCCTAAAAACTCTTTGGCCTAAGCAAATAGAGGCAATGCAATTTTCTTCTGCATAACAATCCATACCAGATTTTCCACTCTGCAGAACCATGAAAATAGGCTTCTTACTAGGAAGAATACATTTTTATCAGCTTTTCCTTACTCAATCAGCAGCTGCAACACTTTCAAGTACAAATACATACTTCAAAGATTTCAGTCTTTTCAATGGCATGATTCCTCCCACTCACACACCTTCTAGAAATATATATGCATATATTGTTTAGTAAGAGGGGGTTATGAACAAAGTGCACATTCCATGCACAAAAATTCAAACTCTTCTTCAAATCCCATTTTAATTAAGTATTTGGACAAATGCTTTATTCTGTACTTGATGACAGCACTTACCCCAAACATCATAGTATTTTAACAACTCAGACACTATTGTTCCCCTTGAAGGAGAAAAGTGTGCACTCCTACTGGGAAAGTAACTACATATCAAGGAGAAGATGCAGATGATACCCTTAAAAAACAAATATCAAGAATTTCAGGAGACCCAGTGTAGTAGAAATGGGATATGTCAATAATCCTGATATCTGCTGGGAGATAAATTCTACCAAATCTGAAACTTCCAAGAAATCCCTGGCTTGTGTGGCTGATAATGTTCTCCTACAAAAAATTGAGGATACTAATCAATAGAGATGACTTGATGGAAGAGTAACTTCTGGGAGAAACTGAACATATTATACTTGAGTTCTTGATTACAAAGGTGGGGAAACCAGAGTGTATCCGCAAAAGTATGCTGGGTTTTAGGAAAGCCAGTTTTAATAAACCCTGGACAATGATAAGTAAGGTCTCATGGCACAAGATCCTAACAGGAAAAGGAGTCCAAGATGGGCGGGAGTTTCTAAAAAGGAAATTCTAAAGGCGCAAGTACAAACAATTCCAACCCCCCCCCCAAAAAAAAATAGCAGAAGGCAATGTGGCTTCACAAAAAGGCTCAGAGAGAACCTGAAAACAAACAAACAAACAAAAAGGACACATATAGGAAGTAGAAGGAAAGCCAGGCTACAAAGGAAGAGTACAGACAAGTAGCAAAGAACTGCAGGGATGGCATTAGGCAAAAGCTGAGAACAAGCTCAAGTTAGCAAGAGAGGCTAAAAGCAACAACAAAACAAAACAAAAAAAACAACTGTTATTCAGGCAGGAGCATACCAAAAGACAGAGAAAAGCAAAAGCCAAACATGCTGCTTATATACTGCCTCATAGTATTTACAGAACTCTCCAAGTGGTTTACAAGCTAATTATACAGTCTACAAATTCTACCCACTCATCCACGCAGAGAGCTGGGTACTCATTTTACCAACTTTGGAAGGACGGAAAGCTGAGTGAACCCTGAGCTGGGAACCTGGGCCTAGGTCATGAGCAAACTTTGGCTGCAGTACAGCAGTTTAAAGACACTGTGCCATGAGAAAGAAAAGGAATAATGGATCAGCTACTTAATGGGGATGGATAACATGTGACCAAAAAAGGGCAGAAATACTCAATTCTTACCTTAGCACAGTCTCTTCCCAACAGACAGTTTATGAGCCCTCCAGACAAATGTGAAATAAAAGTGGACAGCTTGAGATTGATAAACAAGTAACTAGAAATCTCTTGTTACTTTCAACAAGTTCACATCTGTAGTGCTAGATGAACTGCATCCAAGAGTATTGGAAGAAGTGGCTGAAAAATTCTCAGAACTAGTGTGTTTTATTATTTTGAAATCAGGGAGGGTGGGTGAAGTGCCAGTGGATTGCAGGAGAGCTAATGTTGTCCCCATCTTCAAAAAGGACAAAAAGGAAGAACCTGGGAACTACATATCAGCCAGCCTAACATTTATCGTAGGGAAAATTCTGGAGCAGATTATAATGCAGTCACTGCGCAAGCACCTTAAAAACAATGCAGAAATAACTAGACACCAACATGTAGATTTGTCAAGAACAAATCCTGCCACACTAATCTTCTCTTGTTTTTTGATCAGGTAGCCTCCCTGGTTGTTGTTATGTTATCAAGCTGCCTCCAAATTTATGGCAACTCTATGAATGAGTGATCTTCAAAATGCCCTCTCCTCAAAGCCCATGCTTAACTCTTACAAAATAAAAAAAAACCTGTGGTTTCCTTTAGAAAGTCAATCCATATCTCATATTTGGTTTTCCTCTTTTCCTGATGCATTCCAACTTTCCAAGCATTATTACAATCCTGCCTTCTCATGATGTGCCCAAAGCCTCAATTGTGTTATTTTTGCTTCCAGAGATAGTTCAGGCTTGATTTGATCTAGTACTCACTTGCTCATCTTTATGACAGTCCAATGTTTCCACAAAACTCTCTTCCAGCACCATATTTTAAGTACATACACAGTTGATTCCAGAATCATACTCAGAGAGTGTTTGTCAATGGATCCTTCTCAAACTGGGAAGAAAAACAGATGAGGAACCACAAGACTTAGTCCAGGGCTCAGGGCTCTTCAATATTTTTTATCTATGACTTGGATGAATGGGTGCAGGGAACACTTATCAAATTTACAGGTGACAAAAATAATTGGGTGGAACAGCTAATACTCTGGAAGCCAGAAAACAAAATTCAAATAGATCTTGGTAGGCTTCAGCACTGGGCTGAAAATACCAGAATGAAACTTAACAGGGATAAGTGCAAACAAAATTTTACGCAGGGGAGGGGGGAC